TCGCTGAGGTCGACCCCTTCCAACTCTCCCATCCACACTCGTCTTGTATACTTGTTTCGTCTATCTCCTTTCGTTCATCCTCTCTATATGTCCAAACCATCTCAACATACCTTTCTCAATCCTTGACACTACATCTTCTTTCACTCCACAACGTTCCCTAAAATTAACTTAATAAACTTTACTTAAAGTTTTAAGTCAACTTCGCACTGTACGTGCGCGCCCGCACATGGTATTTTGTGGAAGAGCCACACTCAAGGGGCCAAAGAGCCACATGTGGCTCGCAAGCCGCGGTTTGCCGACCACTGCTCTAGTGTCTACTCTAGGAGATCCCACAACACGCCTGCCACCAGAACTACGATTCCCAGCATTCCTGGTGCTCCCCGCACTCTGGGCTTTCGCTTCTGGTCCTGGGGCTGCCACCAGAACGACTATTCCCAGAATTCCTGGTGCTCCCCACGCTCTTGGTTTTTCCTTCCTGCTCTGTTTCTATCCCATGGCCTCCCACTCTGCCAAGTCCTCCAAGCTACCAGCTCTCCCTCTTTGCTCTCTGTCTGGCGGCTTGGGGAGCCAAGTTCCCCAAGCCGCTCCACTCTCTGCCAGCTCTCCCGCTCTGCTCTCTGCCCGGCACCTGTGTATGCAAATTAACCCACCATCTTTGTCGGGTTAATTTGCATACTCACTCCTGATTGGCTGGTGAGTATAGCAGAGGGACGGTCAATTTACATGTTTCTCTTTTATTATATAGGATGATAAGAAATGGTAGCTACATTCCTAACTGCATTTTCCTACTTGGCAGCAGCATCTTGGGGAGAAGGAAAGGCTTGTCGTTGACCCTGCTTTTTGGCCGCTAACCTCCCTTTCTGTGTTGGCTTTCAGCAGCGTGACTAAGAGCGACGCCAGCCCTTCCGACAGCACCCCCGCCTCCTGCTACCCGTGCCACCGTGGGAAGCCCGACTCGGTGGACCTGCAGTCCCCTCCGGGCAGCCCCTCGGACCCGCTGTCCGCCCGGCTCTCCTGGCCCAGCCATCACTCGGGAGCATCCTCCGAGGGCCACGCCCGCAGTGACTTCCTGTTGGACCCCAGCCGCAGCTACAGTTACCCCAGGCAGAAGACGCCGGGCACACCCAAGAGACACTGCCCGGCGCCCTTGGACCTGGAGGGCCGTGAGCCCCAGGCCGGCCCCCCCAGCGCAGCCCCTGCAGGATTCGGCGGCAGCGGCTCCGGCTGCCCCAAGTCGGCCAGCTACTCCCTGGGGAGCACAGACGAGAAGCCGCTGGCGGCTGGCACCACCAAGCAGAGCCTGTCGTGCCCCGCCCTGCCCCCCCGGGCCCCCAGGCCGGTGGAAGAGAAAGCCTCCTCTGGAACCCCGCCTTTGCCTCTGAAAATCGACGGTGCTGAGGGGGACCCCACGGCGGGGTCCGCGGACCTGGCCGAGGACCCGTACTTCGTGCCGAAGGGCGCGCAGGACATCTTCTCGGTCCCGTACCCCTTCTCCTCGCCGCTCCACCTGCAGCTGGCCCCCCGCTCCTGCGGGGATGGCTCCCCCTGGCAGCCGCCCGCCGACCTGTCGGGACTCTCCATCGAGGAGGTGTCCAAGTCCTTGCGGTTCATCGGGTTGTCAGAAGACGTCATCTCCTTCTTCGTGACCGAAAAGATTGACGGGAATTTGCTCGTGCAGCTGACAGAAGAAATCCTCTCGGAGGATTTCAGACTAAGCAAACTGCAGGTGAAGAAGATCATGCAGTTCATCAACGGCTGGAGGCCCAAGATATAGCCCAGTCCCCCCGCCGGCATCGCACGAACCGGGAACGCGTGCTAGAGGCGGGGCTGGGACACGAGCTCATGTTTTCTTTTGCACTAAAAACCTTCTCTGTAAATAGGGGTAAGAGAAGCCCTCACTAGACAGATCACGTTTTTGAACGGTGAACAGGCTATTTTGTACATCAATAAAAACGCTGTCCAGAACACTCAGAGGTGCCTTGTACGTCACTCAACACTCAGCAGCTGCTAAACGGCAACAGGCATGTCCCGAGTCAGGATTCTCACCCCCGAGCAGGGTGATGCGAGACGGGATGATATTTATTACAGAATAGCCAAAGCGGAAGAGACACGAGAATCTCTAAGAAACAAAACAAACCAACAGTTTTGGACAACAGTCCCTTCCTGGGGGGGGAGATCTATTGTAGTGAGCGCTACCCTGTGCTCTGTTTGGGGTACTCAGTGCGAACTGTCTTACTCTTGTGCCTGGAATGTTAGTGATATGAAATGACACTGGAATGTCAGGTGCTCGGTGGGGATCTGTGCATCGAAAGGCATTTTCCAAAAGTCGTGTGTGGATGGAAGACACAGGACATCCTTAGAAATCATACAAACCGTGACCGCAGTCATTCATCCGTAACTGCTGCTAATTTTATTGAGCAGAAGAAGAAAAAAAAAAACAACACAGAATAGATACAATATGTGTGTAAATGTCTACGCAATACATATGTGTATGTTTTAAACCTCATTGTGAGTCTGATGTTTTTGCAGCGGTTCTCAACCTGTGGGTCGCGACTCCTGAAAATACATCCTGCCTATCAGATATTTACATGACGATTCATAACAGTAGCAAAAATTACAGGGATGAAGTAGCCACGAAAATAATTTTCTGGTTGGGGGTCACCACAACATGAGGAACTGTATTTAAAGGGTCGCGGCATTAGGAAGGTTGAGAACCACTGAGCGTCTGTTCGCTTCCACGTGCCCACTGAGGTTCGGGGCCCCTGGCTGGGTTGACACTCGTAGGAGGAGTGGACAGACGCCCCAGATGTGCTGGGAGCCCGCCCCTCGAAGCCGGGGCTCGGCGGGGCTTCCCCACGGAAGGCGTGGGAGAGAGAGCAGGACAGAGTCTGTGCTGGGAGTTCCGTGGGACGTGAAGTCCACAGTGGGGCTGGGTTTTGCGCCTAATCCTCCCGTGCTGACGTCTAGGGACACGACCATTCTTCTCCAGGCTGAGGGCCTCTCCCCCTGATCTCTGAAAGGGGGGTCTGCAGGGCATTCCTCGGACGTCAGACGCACCACCGTCCGTGACTCGGGGCTACATCTGTTGAGTAGTTTTTAAAAGTATTGATGAGAGTCCTTGTTTAGTTCCTACACCTCTTCACTCCTCTCTTCCAAAGAAAACACATCACTACTATGCTTTTATCCCAAGAATGTCAGAACATGATTCTGTCAAATGCTGCCAAATGTGATTAAATATTCCAAACCCTAACGGCCTCCCCTTCACATTCGGCTTTCTGCAGGAGCATGTGTCTTAGCAAAGCTTCCGCTCTCCGGGCGAGCGTCGCCGCGTAGCCCTGGGGTCTGTCCCGGGTTCCAGAGGCAACCACAGCCCGTGGCTGAGGCGATCTGGCTGTTCCCTCCTCCTGCCACTGAAACAAATTAGTGAAGGCAAGACCCACCCCTCTCCTTCTGCAGACCTGTGCACATGGCTTTATTTCTTGGCGATCAAGATACTTTTAATCTATCTCATGGTTTCCATCTTTTTTAAAAAATATATTTTTTTTTTATTGATTTCAGAGGGGAAGGGAAAGAGAGATAGAAACATCAATGGTGAGAGAGAACCACTGATCAGCTGCCTCCTGCACACCCCACACTGGGGATCGAGCCCACAACCTGAGCATGTGCCCTTGGCCGGAATTGAACCTGGGACCCGTACAGTCCCCAGGCCAACACTCTGTCCAATGAGCCAAACCAGCTAGGGCTTATGGTTTCCATCTTACATGCCCTTTAAAAATAACAGTCCACGTAGAAGTTTCCAGTACGGCTCCCCCAGGACAGGACAGGGGGCCTGTCGGGGACTTTCCTGGTCGGAAAGCATCCCTCTGTCTGCGGGGAGCCCCCTCAGGAGCGACAGCCTCTAGGACAGCCGTGGGCAAACTACAGCCCGCGGGCCGGATTTGGCCCGTTTGAAATGAATAAAACTAAAAAAAAAAAAAGACCGTACCCTTTTATGTAATGATGTTTACTTTGAATTTATATTAGTGCACACAAACACTCCATCCATGCTTTTGTTCCGGCCCTCCGGTCCAGTTTAAGAACCCATTGTGGCACTCAAGTCAAAAAGTTTGCCCACCCCTGGATA